AGCACAAGTAAGTCTATAGCAGCACAAGTAAGTCTATAGCAGCACAACTAAGTCTATAGCAGCACAAGTAAGTCTATAGCAGCACAAGTAAGTCTATAGCAGCATAACTGAGTCTATAGCAGCACAAGTAAGTCTATAGCAGCACAACTAAGTTTATAGCAGCACAACTAAGTCTATAGCAGCACAAGTAAGTCTATAGCAGCACAAGTAAGTCCATAGCAGCACAAGTAAGTCTATAGCAGCATAACTGAGTCTACAGCAGCATAACTGAGTCTACAGCAGCATAACTGAGTCTACAGCAGCACAAGTAAGTCTATAGCAGCACAAGTAAGTCTATAGCAGCATAACTGAGTCTACAGCAGCATAACTAAGTCTACAGCAGCATAACTAAATCTACAGCAGCATAACTAAATCTACAGCAGCACAAGTAAGTCTATAGCAGCATAACTGAGTCTATAGCAGCATAACTAAGTCTATAGCAGCACAATTAAGTCTAACTAAGTCTATAGCAGCATAACGAAGTCTATAGCAGCACAAATAAGTCTATAGCAGCATAACTGAATCTATAGCAGCATAACTGAGTCTATAGCAGCACAAGTAAGTCTATAGCAGCACAATTAAGTCTATAGCAGCACAACTAAGTCTATAGCAGCACAACTAAGTCTATAGCAGCACAACTAAGTCTATAGCAGCACAAGTAAGTCTATAGCAGCATAACTGAGTCTATAGCAGCATAACTGAGTCTATAGCAGCATAACTGAGTCTATAGCAGCATAACTGAGTCTATAGCAGCATAACTAAGTCCACAGTAGCAAAACTAAGTCCACAGCAGCAAAACTAAGTCTATAGCAGCACAAGTAAGTCTATAGAAGCACAAGTAAGTCTATAGCAGCATAACAGAGTCTATAGCAGCATAACTAGGTCTATAGCAGTACAACTAAGTCTATAACAGCATAACTAAGGGGTAGTTCGGGAAACCCAAGCTGACCCTAACTGTAGGATTTATCAAAATGGAAAGTCTTAAGCCCAGTCTTAAAACTGGACAATGTGTCAGCCTCACGGACAGAAACTGGAAGTTGCTTTTGAAAACTCTAGGAACCACAAGTAAACCTACAGTCTGAGATCGAAGTGCTCTGTTAGGAAAATATGGAACAATAAGATCTGTAATATAAGATGGAGCTAGGTTGTTGAGGGCTTTGTAGGTTAGAAGTAAGATTTTGAATTCTATTCTGGATTTGACAGGGAGCCAATGGAGAGAAGCTAAAACTGGAGAGATATGATCTCTCCCAGTAACTCCAGTTAAGACTCTGGCAGCAGCATTTTGGATCAACTGAAGACTTTTTAAAGAAGTATTTGGACACCCAGATAATAAACCATTGCAATAGTCCAGTCTAAACGTGATAAATGCACGGACCAGTTTTTCTGCATCTTTTTTAGATCAGATGTTTCTGATGTTAGTGATATCACGCAGGTGGAAGAAGGCGGTTCTAGTAACGTTTTTAATGTGGGGGATAAAAGACATGTCCTGATCAAAAATAACACCAAGATTTTTAACATTAGAGCTGGAGAACAGATTAATGCATCTAAGGAGGGAGGAAGATGGAAAAATTAATTTCCAAGATGCTCAGGCCCAAAAACTAAAACCTCAGTCTTGTCTGTTCAAAAGCAGAAAATTTAGAGTAATCCAGGTTTTTATGTCTTTAAGACATGCTTGTAGTCTAAGTAGCTGATTGGATTTATAAGACAGTTCTTGGTGGCCGGCCTCAGACTGATGAAGTCTTTCAGAAGAAAGACGAAACGTTTTTCCCAAAAAGAAACTGTCCAGATGACGTGACTGAACTTTTCTTTGTACTTTAACCTTTTCGTTTCTGCTTGTTGTCTCTTGCAGCGGTGGCATTTCACAGTCCTCCTGTCACTATCAAGAAGGAACCACAGAGTCCGGGTTCTGACCCCAGCCAGTCCTGTAGCCACAAACAGACCTTCAGCTACCCCAGCGGAGAGCAGTGCCTTTATGCCAGGTAAACCTCCACGCTGTCCTCACGTGTGACCAAACCTTCAACAGGTCCAGCATCTAGCAGACTAGTTTATTTCAAGCGTCTGAGATTTGTCGTTAATCTTCACGGTTTCTGATCTGGTTCAAACTCAAAAGACGGTTTGGATTCCACGTCAAACTGCTGCCGTTTTCCCAGCGTTGCTTCCTCTGTTGAGATTTTCCGGAGAATTCACAGTCAGCAGTTTTAAAACATCACAATAAAACACTTCCACGGAATCATTCCACTTTTTATTCACTTACAGATCGCTCTTCTATAGAAGTGAGCGTTGCCGTAGAGCTCTGTTAATCACAGTTCCATGCGTCTCCTTGGCTCTCAAGCGATGGTTTTTACACATTTATTTTTTAAAAGCTATCTGGTCTTTCTCAGCAGCAGTGGTTTTATTAACTTGCAGTTGTGCAAACACCAACACATGACAGAAGACTTATCATAAAGCTCTGTCCACACATGAACAGTATTTATGACTCTGTAAAGTTTTTATTCTTTCTGCCTTGCATCCACACAGTTATTTGAAAATGAGTTCCAAAAGGAGAAAATCTTAAAATGCCTCCTTTGGGGTTTTGCGTTCAAAGTCTAAACACAACCTTTCCTAAAACGATGATGTCGTAGCCTGACCTACGACCCCATCTGTGACAGACAGACAGACAAATTACACGTTTGTGCTGCAGACCGTAGTTTCTCAGCAGAACCTTCTGATGCTGCATGATGTTGCTTTAAAGAGAGCAGAGCAAAAACTCCTCATTACACCAAATCAAGTTTTTTTTTAAATATAATTTTATTGAAATGTCAACGAAACTAAAGTGAACTTTACAGAAAAAAACTACAAGCTAACACAAAAGGAATGGGGATTCAAAAGAAGCTAAACACTTGAACATAAAAAATGAACCTGGTTCTTTAACCGCTCCCCTCTGGATGCTGTTATGTTCATTAGTTTCACATGTTTGGACCGACCCAACTTTGACTCAACACCCTTTTGCGGTCTTGTAGTTTATTGCGTCACAAAGATCCTCTTTGTGTTCACCGTCCTGCTCTATTTTCTGCTCGTCGTGTTTACAGTTCAAACCATAGACTTTAAATATTAAACACCGTATGGTTCCTAACAACAGGTGCGCTGTACGTTGTTGTTGTGGCCGTTACAGCGCCACCTACAGGCCTGGAATAGTTCCTACAGCACGTTACAAGAATGCTTTTAGAAAAACACCACTCCTGTGTGGACACGGACCATAACTTCTGTTGGCTTTGACTTCAGCCCCCACCCCACTGACCATGATTTAAAATTAACAGAAGCAGAATCAGGTGTTTTATTATCATTATTATTATTTTTGCAGTGCCTATGAGCAGAAAAGGGCAGCAGGAGGAGCGAAGAGCTCCTGCCCGGGGACCCCCATGTCCCCCATGCAGCAGCATTACTCCCCCAAACCTGCAGCTGCTGGACGGCCAGACGCCGGCTACCTGAACCCAGCCGCCACCTCCCAGCCCCTCCCCAGCAACAGTTACCACGTGAACGCCAGGTGAGGCAGCGAGACGGTCGTCTGCTTCTTCCATAAAAATATTTTTATGATCAAATCTGTAACGATGAGCTCCTGAAGTGTTGTCTCTTCAGTTCCAGGTTTCAGGGCCCTTCAGCGGAGCCTCTGTGCCCCCCGTTCCCCCAAGCCGGGCAGGCCTTTCAGCGCATGCCGTCTGCCCCGGCGGGCAGCAGTGGGGGTGGAGGTGGAGGGGGTGGAGGGCCAGGGGGCGGTGGAGGTTTCCATCGGCAGCACTCGGACCCCTGCATGCCCTACCTGCAGCAGAGCTTTAAGCAAGAATACCTGGACCCTCTGTACGAGCGGGCGGCTCACATGGCCGGCCACGGACCCCACCCCCACCAACACCCCCACCCACACACACATCCACACCGGTTTCCACCCGCCCACATGATGGTCAAGCAGGAACCGACAGACTACACCTACGAACCTGGTGAGCCGTCCGAAGGCGAAGCTGCCATTATGTTGCCATGTGCGTTTGTTTGTCTGCAGCGTTAGCAAAATATCTCACGAACCACTGGATGGATTTTAACGAAACTCCTAAAAGTGAAAAACGTTCATGTTCAGTCCAATTAAAGATGGCCGCCACAGCTAAGCATCGTTAGTGAACACAACCATGGCTCTTTGACTTTTAAAGGTATTGAGCTATGATTTTGTGCGGTGCTTTACTCCAACCGCTGCACACTGCGCAGCATTTTAGCTCAAACTTTGACGTTACGCCTGTTAAGTACTGTCCACGAGATATTTAGCTAAACGAACACAAAACCAGCTGCAGGCAAATAACAGCAACATTTAAATCCTTTAAATGCCACGTTCACACGTCGTCAGAAATGATGGAGGTCACAGAAATAAATCAGAAATATTCTGACGTTTAGTTGAGGGTTGCCAGACGTGTGAGGGGGCGTGGCTAACTGCAGAACAAAATGTTCAAAAAGCCAAACTCTCCTCTGTACGCCTGAAACTCCTCCTTTCAGTTCTCTGACACTTTGCAGCCAAAGGAGAAGTTTCTTTTTTCCTGGCTGCAGCCACGTCCCCCCCCCCCCCCCCCATGTGTGTGAGACAGAGGCAGAGGAATTTCATTGAGAAAATGGAGGGCACTGGAAAGACTAGAGTCCCTGGTGGGGCGCTCCGGGGTTTCAGGTTGCACCAGCGGCTTCCTTTTTCTGCAGGCAGATGAACTCATAATGGAAAAATGAGTGCGGCCGCAGAAACTCGAACCTCTCACTGGCTGGGCTGTAGGTGGTGGTGGTGGTGGTGGTGCGGGGGGAGATATACGGGGTGGGGTAGGCAGCTCAGGCGCTTAAACAACAAGCTAAAAGAAAAACAGCTCCTCTTCTTCTTCTTGGTTTCTTCTGAGAAATGGAGCGCTCGTTCACCTCCATTAAAGACGCTCCTGAACGCCTCACCTGAGAGGACGCCCCCCCCCCCCCCCCCCGCCCCTCCATCTCATGTTTACGTATAACGGTTTTAGTCAAACCTTGAAAACGTGACTTCCGTGCTCAGAGTTTCTGTTGTGAAGGACTGTCGGCTACCACCACCTCAAATTTAAGCTCAATATTTGTAAAGTAAACGGAGTTATAATCACGTGAACACACAAACTCTAAGAAAAACACTTTCTGGAGAAACTGATTTTTGATTTGACAGCATCTCGTGTTGGGGTTCACTCTCAGCCGCCATCAAACCAAATTTCAGCTCAAAATGTAAAAAATATCAACGAGTTAGTCATTTTTTCTTTTAACCTATGGTGGCCATCTTGGATTTGTATTTGGAGTCAGTAGGTGATTGGGAACGTTCTCGGCTGTAACCACCAAATTTCTGCTCTTGTGTGTAAAAGTAGCTGAGTTAAAGCCATTTAAACGTAGCTTTGGTGGCCATCTTGAATTATTTTAAATTCATTATTTATTGGGCATTGCCCTCAGCTGCTATCACACCAAATTTCAGCTTAATATCTCTAAAAATGGCTGATTTACAGTATTTTCCCTTTTAGCTCAAGCAGCCATCTTGGATATTTGATTTGCAACCAGTCAATAAAATGTCTAATAAAAATGGCTTCTTTGTTTGCAAATTACATCGCCATGGTTAGGCCTGTCGCGATAAACAATAAATCAATGAATCGCATGACAAATGAAAATTATCAACCTCATTTTCTTTTATCGGCTTTATCGTTTCTTCTTTTCCTCTCGCGTCGCAAAAAGCAGCTAAGCTGAGAAGCTAAGCTACGAGCTAAGCTAACAGGCAGACCTCTGAAAAAAAAATCCTCCATCTTGTCGAAGCTCCAAATTCACAGTTGAAACCAGTGACTTCGTGTAAAAAGTTGTTTTTCTCTGCAACAAGAAGCTGAGAACTTGTTTACTGATTTTTTTTATTAAAAGCTTTGTGACAAATGTTATGTTAAAGAGCTGAAACCACACCGGGTGTCCGCCATTTTGAGAACCGAAAACAAGGAAACAGACAGCCCATGTCATGTCAAGGAGCCTCCCTCCCATTTTTCTTGGAGACACGCTGCTCACTCCCTCACTATCCATCCTTCAGTTCAAACAGTTTTGTACTGACATCCAGTGGTCAAAAAAATGTACTACACTCAAAACAAACTAAACATTTCTTCTTAAATTTGACAATAATTACTAATTATTGTCAAATTTCAAACAATATTATCGTTTATCGCGATAGTTTCTAAGACAATTAATCACCCAGTAAAATTTGTTATCGTGACAGGCCTAGCCATGGTAACTCGAAACGCCAATAAAAGTAAAAGCACACATCACGGTGCCGAGCCGGTCATTTAAAACTTGTGGGGGTACACGTTGTGGTTCGGGCTGCATTAAAGTTGATTAAAGTTAAGAAACCCTTGTCAGGTGGATAATAATAGGTGGCTGCCTTTGTAGGCAGTCCCCAATAAAATCAGATATCATAAGTTCTCTATTTCAGTGTAGAAAATAAAAGTTATAGTTTCGTTGACAAACACTTGATCGCTGCAATTGTGTCACATAAAAGACAAAATGTTCGCGTCACGGAGTGCACAATTAACCCGATGCTCTCACACCCAGTCTGCCCATCGCTCCCAGGTGGGACGCCGCCACTGCTGGCAGACATATTATTTACAGCATGATCGAGAGCTGCTGCCCGGGAACCGAGGCTTCGATTTTCCCCCGTGGCATCTCATCACAACCACAGCGCTTCGCCTTGCATTCCTCAGGAGTGAGTCAGATCAAGAGCTGCGCGTTTCGGTCCTTATCCGCTCGCTTTCTCTTCATTGATGCAGCTGACAAACGGCCAAAAATAAAACGGGCACGCAAACACACGCGGAGAATAGCCCGTGACTCACCTGTTTTTGTGCGAGCAGAAAGGTAAAGAAAAGGAACCGAACACAAACAAAGGTGAGCAGCTCCGCCGGAGGAAATGAAGCACAATGAACCTTTGTGTGTCCAAATGACTTTTAAAGACTTTGCAGAGAAGATGGCTTGAATGTTGATCTGGACGATATGGCCGAAACTTATCACGATATATTTCTCAATTTCAGTCGATAACGATATAATTTCGATATAAACAATATAAAAGCCTCAAAAACTGTTCAGATTAATGTGCACCTTTTATTTGTACTTAGCCTTCAAAGAAATTTGAAATCACCGCCAAATAAACATAAAACTCTCAGCTTGCAGGGCAGCCGGCTTGGGACCCGAGAGTCCCAGGTTCGATCCCCAGTCACTGCACATCACGTGGCGTCTCTGGGCAGCACGTCTAATCCCCAAAATGTCCCCCGGGCGCTTTCAATAGCTGCCCACTGCACCACCTGGTGGTGGATGGGTTAAATGCAGAGACTAATTTCGCCATTGTATGGAAACATACAGTGCTGACATTGTGATGACATTATTATTATTATTATTATTTGTCAATATTAATAGTTTTAACTTTAAACAACAACATGAAGTTTCACTTTTGATACAGCTGGGGGCGTTGTTTCAGGGACACGCTGGCGTCATCTTCTGGCTCTCAGCCGATTCTACCAAGTGGAAACTCTTCAGATGGTGGAACAAGTTGAATCATTTTAAAGCGAAAACTTTACGCGATTTGAAGCTTTAGCCTAGCCTGTTACCGCTGACTCCTTCTGGACTCGAGCTCTGTGTGTGTGTGTACGTCACCACGCACTTCCGTAGTTGTGTCGCGGCTTTTTCCGTTCGGGTTGAAACCGAAGCGGCCGCTTCAACCCGAACATGAAAAATGTGTCAGCGAAACGTTGTAATCGTATCGTAATGTATATCGAAAATGTGCTTAAAACTCATGTCACCGTTATCGAATAAAAGTATATCGTGATATATATCGATATCAAATCATTGTCCAGCACTAGGCACAGATGTGGCCAGATGATCTGTAAGCTCTGGTCTCTAAAAATACCAACCAGGGCCAGAGACGATAAATCTTTATTCCATACAGTAGTCCCTCGTTTATTGCAGGGGTTCCTGTCCCCCTGCGATAAGTTAAAAACCGCAAAGTAGGAATAGCATAAGTAGTAGTAGTTTATTTTAAATACATGCCGTGCGTGCAGCTCATCCATCAGTCGGCCAGTTGTGTGTCATGTCCAATCTTATTTTGAAAAACAGCGGTTGAGCAAGTCCGCGGAAGTCGAACCACGAAGTAGCGAGGGACGCCTTTTCTCTCGGATATTGTCCGGGAGAGCACAAACAATACGATGAGTAAATATTTTAATTTCTCTCAAATTCCAGAAGACAGAATGTGACGGTGCTGGTTTTATTTTTGTTGACAGATGTGCCTGGTTGTCCCTCCATGTACCACCACAGCGAGGGCTACTCAAACCCCCAACACAGCAATGAAGGTAAAACTTTCTGCATCTTCTGATTGACTTATAATCTTTTCATGTCTGCCCCTAAAGCAGTGGTTTCCAAATAAATGATAAGTTGGAAGACGATGCTCAGAAATCACGTTAAAAATGCAAAATATATCAAATGTATGCCGTAAAGCTAAAACGGTAAAATCCGAGTACAATTAGTCTTAATTGATTTTGAAGCTGTTTGAGGTTTTATGTCTTTATAATTGGTTAATTGGCAACATTTGCATGTTGTTGTTTTTTTGTGAGTTGTGAATCATTGACCTAAAAGTTGTTTTTTTGTTAGTGGGGTTGTGTAGGCAGCATTTTCTCTGCAGTGGGCAGCAGAATGATTTCACTGTGGGGGGGGGGGGGAATAAAAGTTCTCGTCCTGTCAGAATAACAATTGCGCCTTTTAAAAATAAATAAATAAAATACCGATAAACACTTTCAAGCCAGACCAGAGATGCCCAATTCTAGTTTACGGGTGATCTATGCTAAAACTGAGGCAACATGAAGTGTTGAAGTCAACCTGCAGCTGTTACACCTCTGAGCCACTAGGAGTTAGTCACAGAGCTGAAAAAAGAGCTGCAGCATAAAATGAGCTCAACCAATACGTAAAATACGTAAGGTACATGGACTGAACTGGTATATCACGTTTCCATCTTGTCAAGATGCTCAAACTCTTTACAACACAATCTGTGTCCTCATTTACCCGCTCATACAGCACCCTACTAGATCTTTTCCAAAGGGCTTTATCACATCATACACCGATGGGTCACACATCGAAGGCAATGAGGGGTTCAGCGTCTTGCCCAGGGACACTTCAGCTGGTGGAATCGAACCCCCGACTCTCCCATTGGAGGACAACAGCTCTAACCACTCAACCACAGCTGCCACTAAAAAATGGTTAACGTCCTAGTAAATGCAACATTAGATCAATGGAAGCACTGAGGCGGCATGAACTGAAGTCAACCAGCCACTGTTACACCTCTGAGCCACTAAGGGAAGTAGTCACAGAGCTGAAACGATGAGGCTGTGTGAGATGTTGACGTAGTTCACAGTATAAAATGAGCTCCACCAATAGGTGTAGGAAGAAAAAAAAAAAAACTAGTAAATGCAACAGTGTTAGAACAATGTAAGGACTGAGGCGGCGTTAGCTGAAGTCAACCAGCCACTGTTACACCTCTGAGCCACTAAGGGAAGTAGTCACAGAGCTGAAACGATGAGGCTGTGTGAGATGTTGAAGTAGTTCGCAGTATAAAATGAGCTCCACCAATAGGTGTAGGAAGAAAAAAAAAGACCTAGTAAATGCAACAGTGTTAGAACAATGGAAGGACTGAGGCGGCGTTAGCTGAAGTCAACCAGCCACTGTTACGCCTTTGAGCCAGCAAGGGAGGTAGTCACAGAAACAACTGGTATGTGTGTGGGTAAGCTGGCTGTGGCTTACAGATGTGATGTAGTGGGCCATCTGTGCGACCCACCAAAGATGATGGACACACTTTAATGTTCGGCGTCATAAAGGTGTCTTGTGTGAGCTCATGCCATCTCAGGTTGTGGCTTGATTGGTAATCTAGGAATGGCCAGAGGCAGTGGCTCTTCTTTGTGGCCGTACTGGTGACCTGTTTTGAGAAAAGGTCAATGAATTCAGTCAAACTAATGGGTTGGGGTTGGGTGGATTAAGAAGCTAATTTCACGTAAAGTCTAAAGCAACCCAAACTGGTTTTGGGTGACGACGTCAATGTCCCAGTGATAATTGTAAATGACTGTAATCCACTTTTTGAATGGGCCATGCTCTGATTAGATGTTAGCTTGAATCCCTCATGAGAATTTCTTCAACACTTTCCAATCTGAGATTATTTTAATTGCTCTCGATTGCAGGTCAGGTACCTCACTACTCCAACACTTTATATAGTATCCTCTTAAAAAAAAATCTTTAAACCATTTGCCTCTTTCTTTTAAAACTAGAGAGGGTCATAAAGTCTCCTGAGGATGCATTCAGCCGAACTCCTCGATCTGTAAAGTTTTATCTACTTTGAGCCTTCACTCATTCTAACTCTGCGGTCATTGGCTGACCAGTGCAGTGTCCATGTTTCCATTGGCTAGCCAGTGGTGTGTTCATGTTTCCATTGGCAGAGGCTCAAAGCTCACCCCTGCCTCATGAATCCCTGAATAAACAGAACTCCTGGAAAAAGCAGAATAATTCCCCAGCAAAAAAAGAAAACAACCCCTCCCTTCATTCTCTTTGTTTGTGGGACCAGTTTTGGTTATTTGGGCTGGTGTTTGTTTAAAATCTGCGATTCCTCTTGAAGGCAAAAAAAAAAAAAGTGTTACAAAGATACTTTTAGATGCTTTAAGTGTGAAGTCCACTCCTTGTTCCTGAAGAATGCACTCTTTGTTGGCTCGGTGTTGTTCTAGCAGGAACGGTTCTTTGTATTTTTGTGAAAACTGGATTCGACGTTTGGCGCGGATCCCCAACAAACGTAGTTATGATCAAATCAAGGCTGCTCGAAACTCTTAAAAACAATTCCCTCTTTGTCTCTTAGGCTATTTGTTCGAGAACGACTCCCGCGTTGTTCCAGAGAAGTTCGAAGGTGAGCCTCTCTGCTTCTACATTCACACACATTCAGGATGGGCAGGACAGTTGATCTCGTCACGGCTACTTAAATCTCTACACTTCAGTATCAGCTAATAGACACCTGAGATCCTTGTGTAAGACGTAAACAGGTCCGTGCACTCCGAAGCTTACTTAAAGGATCCTGTTTCATTGTTTCATCATACGCGCTCCGTGGGGCTCCTCTGTCAAAGAGACGAACAGTTTCCCATGGTGTAGCTGCTTGTTGACAATAAAAGAGACGGAGTGGAGAAAAGCCTGAGGTGTCACCGCTGGTTGAACCGTTGACGTGTGCAACTACAGCAGGAACTTGGCCACGCTTCTCAGGTTCCCACATATGCATGTATACAACACATTCAGTAACAACAGACTGTTTGATTAATTGATTCATTAAATGCTGGGGTGTTTTTTTTTTTTCCAAACCTTAATAGGTTGAATTTCTCATTTTGACATACCGTACACCTGCACTACCTTAAATTGGTCTTCTCTCGCCTTCGACCTGAAGGTCCTGGGTTTGATACCCAGTCATTGCACATCTCGTGGTCTCTCTGAGCAGGACACCTAATCGTGAATTGCTCCCGAGGCGCCTACATAGCTGCCCACTGCTCCACCTGGATGTATCCCAGGTGCCATGGATTAAATGCAGAGAGCCAATTTCGACTTTGTATGGGAACATACAATATGTGACATAGCACTTTATTATTTATTATTAAATCAGCGGCTATGGGAGCGTGCAGCGGGATGAATCGCTGTGGAATTTTAACAAGATAACCACCTAAAAACAATTGTTTGTTTGCTCGACATTATAGTAAAGGTGTGTCTCAGTTAAACTTTTACTTAATAAATGCACTTTAATGGTCATATCAGCTGCGTTTCGCCTGGGTGACATTTGCTCCAGGAGTTCCAGAAGGAGAAGGTGGCTTGGTATGGCAAGCCAAGTGTCTCATTAATAGCCACTTTTACCTATTAATAACACTTGGCTTGCCATATAGGTCAAGGGCCCTCTAGTGGCTGAAAATGGTAGTGTTCGATATTTTCCACGTCGGAATGAATGAAATCATCTCAGCCAAAAATTGGGTTGTAAATATGAGAAAAATTAAATTAATACGTCGCTTCACTGTATAAGTCGCAGGCATGCTAATTTATGCTAAAAAAACTGTGACTTATACATCGAAATTTACGGTACCTTTTATGTAACAGTTACTTTGAGTTGAAATGGACATAAAGGTGTTGCATCAAGTACTGGTCAGCGTTGGTTTGGGGATTTCTGTAGTAAATGAAGCCATTTTAAACCGTTCATGTGTCCAGGTGAGGTCAAACAGGAAGGGGGCGGAGTTTTCCGAGAAGGCACACCTTACCAGCGCCGTGGCTCGTTGCAGCTCTGGCAGTTCCTGGTGGCCCTTCTGGACGACCCGAGCAATGCCCACTTCATCGCCTGGACCGGCCGCGGCATGGAGTTTAAACTCATTGAACCCGAAGAGGTATGACTCTGTTCTGATCGTTTTAGTTTTTGTTTTCCTGGGTAAATATTTGTTTTTCAGCCAACAGCCATTTACAATGGCTTCTGTTTTTAATGCAATCAACTTGGTGGTGAAGACCTTTTTGTGTACTAAACTCTTTTTTTGTCAGATCATTGACTTAAGTCCTAACTCAGCTTCAGTTTCAAATGACCCCTTGGCCTTTAGCTCGAAGTCAGTCATCAGTTCAAGGAACCCGTTCATAAGCCGTCGTTTATTTCTTTCACATAAACAAATGAGATGCTTTAGCTAGAACTGCAACAGCTTGACACAAACAACACTATTTTGTAATGCTTGGTCACCGTCAGACCGTCACACCACAAAAAACACCGGAATATCAGGCTAGACGTTCTGGTGGTTCGTGGAATTTACATTCGCTTGTAAGCAATTTTCTAGAAATACTAGAAAGATCCATTAGGTGGCATTTCAGTTGTCTTTGAAAAATTTCAGTGTGATTGACCCGATAACTAATTTGTTTTCTAAATATGTTAGAAAAAGATTTACCTTTAAATGCACCAAACAGATTGGTTGAATGGTAGGGACACAGAGCAGGATCACTGAACTCATCTGGCATCTAAAACAGACTTACAGAGGGTGTCCACCTTATTCCTCGCCCCCACGAGGCCTTGTGTGAATTATGGACATGATTTTCGACGCGGACCAGAACCGGCATTTGTTTATGTGCAAACAGTACGAGCTGATGTAGTTTCTCCGAGCATTGTGGATTTAATTTAAACATGTAGGAACACCACCTGTCAGAGCTCAAACAGGACAATATAATCATACCACTGCCTGCTGAGGACAAAATGAAGAAGTGGCTGCAGATTACATCTACTAGCATATAGCTACATCTACTAACTAGCATTTTTAGCCACATCTACTAGCATATTTAGCTACATCTACTAGCATATTTAGCCACATCTACTAGCATGTTTAGCTACATCTACTAACATATTT